ATGATAATATCCCCTGGAAGAAGGCGTGTCCCTTCATCCGAACAAACCTGAATTCACTTTACCCGACGAAACTTTGTGGCTAGTTTGGTTGAAATTGGCCCAGTGGTTCTTGAGAAGTAGATTAAAATGTGAAATGTTTACAATGACAACGACCACAGACGCCGGACTCTCTTTGATCAGAAAAGCTCACTTGAGCCTTCGTTCAAGTTAGCTAAAAATCCTCGGCATGACAAACTTCAAATTGGTCCCCCCCCTAAAAAAAAGTATGATCAGTGTTGATTTTGAGGTCACAACGTCAAAGTCAAGGGTAAAAGAAAAATAACCCTGACAAGATTTTTTTTTCCTTTTCAGCCAGTGATCTTGAGCTTGCAGGAATAATCTTTATTCAATATGAGGACACACCCTCGGATCATTAGCAAGCTCTGTTTCAAGTAAAGCTACAAGTGAATCTCCATTACAAAGTTAGAGTGCAGACTAGCATTTAATATGTTTTTGTCAGTGACCTTGAACTTGCCAAAACCAATATGGGTCAAGTCATGACTAACCAACGGTTCAAAAGCATTCTCTGTACAATGTATAAGCCTATTAATTCTCAATTACAAAGTTATAGGACAGACCAGAATTTTATACTTTCTGTAAGTGACCTTGAACTTGCGCGCCAAAATGGGTTTGGGTTAAGGTCGGCTTTACTCTCAGGTGAAAAGCAATCTTTGTACCAAGTATGAGCTTCCAGTAATTCTCCATTACATAGTTTTTTTCTGCCAGTGAATACGTACTAGCTGGAATGACCTTGAGTCGATGTCGACAAACACTTTGATCATCAGCAAATTTTATTCCATATATGAGCTTCCAGAGATTCACCGTTACAAAATCACTTATTGCCCAGACAAAAATTATAAAAAAATTTCAGCAAATGATCTTGAACTAACCAAAATGACCTTGGGCCAAGGTCTTAACACACTTAGGTCAACAAAGCTATTACTGTACTAAGTATGAGTATCCAATGATTCTCCGCTAGAAAGTTTAGTTTAGTTTTAAAATATATTTTATTCATTACAAATGAAATGGATTGAACAGCAGGCATAATGCCTATAATCGTTCTCTCCATAGGTCAAGGTACATATAACAATTATTGGTACATTTAACTGGCGCGTATTGCAGTGCAGCTCCAAACAATAAATAATAAATACTAACGTAAGTAAAGAAAATGAACTGGGTATTATTTATAGAAATGGGAAAATCCCCTTAAGCGTCTGAGAGACTAAGATTTGAACAACCATGTGTTCGTGTCAAGACTTATGCAATGGAGTGGATGTCATTGTAGCTGTTGTTTTTCGGTACTGGTCACCATAATGTTGGGGTTTTTGTAAGTCGTCAAAACTTCTAATAGTTTGGGGGGGTTTTTCGGCTAGTGTTTTAACGAGTATATTTCCATCATAGGTCCAAGCCTGGTCTATCACATTGTCTTTCACGAGCTTTCTGGCATGAAAGAGAAGTTCTGAGCGTTTCCTTATTAATGCTTCGTTTATAAAGATTTTGTAAGTGTTCTGTTCATTTTCGTTGAATGACTTTAAATTACTTTTCTTTGCATAAATGACTGCCCGATCTCTATATGAAACGAATTTAACAATGATATCACGGGGACGTTGAGTATTGCCCTGGTCTCCACGATTGTTATCGTTTTTGAGTGGTCTGCCCACCCTGTGGGATCTGCTGATGCAATCGAGACCTATTTTTGCATCTTGTGTATCAAGGACATACTTCTTAACTACATTCAAGATAATTTGGTCGGTATATTCGTCTGGGTTCTCGGGGATTCCCGTAAACTTCAGACAGTTACGCCTGGAATATTGTTCCATATCGTCCATCCGTAGGGTTAGATTTTCAACCTGTGACTCAAGTTGAGTCACCTTTTCTACAAGGGCCTCTGATATTGTATTTTTGAAGTTTTCCTTACTGAGTATAACTTCTACAGCCTTCTTTGTAGCTATTTCATCTTTAGAGATACTGTCTAAGAGAGAGTTAAGTTTGTTTATTTCTTCATTGTGATCATGGCTGGTCGCGTCGCTAGTTGCCATTAGGGAAGTTTCACTTTGACTACTATAACTAGATTCTATTTCAGACCGTGATCTTTTTTGAGCAGGTTTAATCAGAAATTCACTGGAGTATTAATTTGAGGTAGAATAAGAGTTTTTTTTTATTCCTAGGCATACTGGAGCATTAAACATGCAACCATAATGTTATTGAATGGCCGATGATTACTACTCACAGAGCAAAGCTACCGAGCCGACTATATATTTCTCAATGATTAACTGGACAGATCACATTTCTTTTAATTACTCACTGTACTGTATCCTCAGTTAACATCCTAGAAACATTTCAGTCACTTACGCTACAAAGTGTTGGACCGGACAACAACTTTTTATACATTTTTTGCCAGCGACCTTGAACATGCTGGCGTGACCTTGTGTCAAGGGCAAGAAACCTCCTTGGGTCATAAGCAATCTCTGTACAAAGTATGAACTGTACTCCCCCCCCCCCCCCCGCCCAAAAACTTTGTTTTTATGTGGGATATTTGGATATGTGTTACACTTTCAATAGCATAGGCAGATTCAACAAAAAAATAGAGTAGTCATTCGGACTACGTAAATTCAGTTTTATTGCAAAAATGTAACATAAATATTTTTAAAAACTTTCATGAATACATGTTTGTGCTTTATATTACTTTCCTTGCCTTGTTGCTAAGGAACATTTTCTGTTGCCATGGGAGATGGAAAATTTTTAAATAGCCATTAGTTTACACAGGAGAATATTGTATATTTTATTCTTTAAAAAATTGTTTTTGGTACTCAATGATTACAATTTAAACATTTTTTATTGACATTAAATTCGGCCTAGTCGTGCCCATACGGACTTTGTCAGGAACTGATTAACCTCATCCTTCGGCTTCGGTCAATCAATACCTCACCAGGTCTGCATTGTCAAAAGTGGACCTAATCAAAAGTCAATAATTCTTTTCTTAACGAGATTACTGCATTTTTTAAAACTTGTCAGAAATAAGATTATCCAGTTTTCGATGCAAATATTGATCATGATGCAAAATTTTCGGGAATTTGCAAGAAATTTTAGGACTCTCAAGTCTCAATTGGCCACTAGCAAGAAAAGTAGGTCATTGAGTTAAAATTTGAAAGTGAAAAAAAATACCAGAGTCATAAGTCAAATAAATGATTTTTCATTCCCACAAGGGGAATGTTTTTGCCTCGTAAACATCCTTTAAAGACACAGATTTTGTTGAGGAATTGCTACATACTGATTCCTTATAAAATATATTTGTTGCTATGTAGACAAGTTCTGTTGCTATGGATGAATTAACTTAAAAATACTTTCTAAAAAAAATGTTTGACAATGTTGATTCTGGGCAATAGCAATTCAACAATAAAAATCAGACAATCCTTTAAAAGCTTAGATGATTATGTGCTAAAAATAACTCTCATTGCTTTGTTGCTAAGGAAAATTTGCTGTTGCCATGGAGATACCTTATTGTAAAATAGTCTTAAGTATACAAGGAAGAATATTAAATATTTTATTATTTCAAAATATGTTTTTGGTACTCAATGTTTACAAATTATACGATTTTTCTTCCAATGTTTTACAAGTATCCTTTTTTTCAAACCATCCATTTTTGTTTCTTAGCAACAGATAGGAATTTTCAAATTTGCAAAACTTTTTATTTCAAATTCTTAGAGAGGCTTTCCTGTGATTTTACACGAAAGAGATGAAACAGTTGTATTAAGATGGTAAAATGAATAATATCGACTTGATTTTTGCGAAAATAAGCAAAATGCTGAATCAGCAAAAATGGTAAACATGTATCTTTACCTGTGTCTGTAGCAAATATACTACAAAATGTAATTTCTTTTTATTACATTGCCAGAACACTTTAGAAATGTATCTTTCTTATTACACTAAATAAGAGAAAATCTCTTTATTTACGTTTCTTATAAAGCCTTCAAAATGAGTGAAATTTCGACAATCTACAAAGAAAAATTGGGCGGTTGCTAGGGAAATTTCTTTGGCCATGTTTCCATAGTGACCCAAATATTTTACCTTCCACATACACGGCTTATAGCCCAAGAAAAAACAGTGGGTGAAAAATCATTAATTTCTGAGAACCCCTTGCATCACATCCTGCCTGATTGTTTCGTGGACCTGTACTTAAATCATTCTATTTGTCTTGATTCCTGATCAGAAAACTACATGGATATATATTTTATTTCAGTTTCAATAGATTAGAAAAAATTAAGAAAACCACAAATTAAATCATGTCTGAGAAATCAGACATTGATATTTTTCCAGAGCAGATCTCACGTAAGTTCATTCTGCAATGTCACTATAATTAAATTGAGTCTGAACTACATCACTTAATTTACAATGTTTGTGTAGTAATTTATTCGATAGGTAACTGCAAAAGACAAACATACTAATTCGCAGTGCGAAACGGTGATTTAATTATCATTAAAGAATTTCAGGACGGTCGGGGAAACGACATAGTGTTTTAACAGTAAAAAATGACCAATTACCCCAAAATCTCAATACGGAAAACCATAATTATCTCCAAGTCAGCTTGGATATGTGAAAACGTTAAATTATCAACATTTTCTTCTTTTTTTTCGAAAATGAATTTGAAGATAATTGCGTTAAAATTGACATATATTTTATTTTTTCCAACTAACCGATTACAGATTTTCTAACTGAATGCCATTGTTCTGACCGAGTAATCGGGTTACCAGTTACAAATTGCCATCCCTAGATTAAAGCAAATGAAAACATCTCTACTATATTCATGTAGTGTTAGTACGTCTATAGCATTTTAGAGTGAAAGAGAAGGCATTATTTAAAAAAAAAAAAAAAAAAAAAGAAAGAAAAAAGAAAATCTGCGTGTCATTCTAGGGCACTGAAGATCTGTGAGTATTTCGTGACATTCACAAAAGCATACTTACATTTATATGTATCAACTGAGGAGTAACTTTCTATTGGACAAGGTTTTGAAAATTTTGTACAATCTGTTTGATAATTTTCCTGTATAACACCCCCTCCTTCATTGTATTCTGCACAGTGTCCTAAAAAAAATAATTCATGCTTAAAAAATAATAAGAAGAAAATGAGCATAATTCTAAGGTGTTCAAAAATTGTGTATATTAAATCAGCTTGGGTAGCGGACAGTTCATGCATTGATCAATACCAAATGAATGTATACATGTACAAAGCATTTTTTTTCAAAATGTGTTTCTTCAAACAACCTGGAAGTTGTATTGCATGAGATGAATAATTCTACTAAACTTTTCCCCCTTTTTACATTAAAGAAATGAGTTTCAAGTAAGGTTTTTTTTCCTACAATAAGACACATTTAAAGAAAAATTATTGTTTAACAGAAAAGACAAAATAAAAAGTACAACTCTTCTAAAATAAAATTACAGAAATAAATCCCAATATTTACCGTATATAATGTCGACGGCTACACCACACACTTCAACAAATTTATTTAGGTAGTGATTGGGCAAGCAGTGATAAATAAATAAGTCTGAAGTTGTACAATTCTGTGAAAATGATGAACAATTCTTGAGACGACTGGCTTGTTCAAGCTCTGACATGCTCAGAGGACATGATGGTACATAGACAACCGTATCCTTTGTCTCTGGACAGGAAAGGATCAGCTGAGGATTAACAACCTGTAAAAGATTTTTTTTTGAATAGTAGATGTATACTAAACATTGTCAGATTTGTTTATTTTTTATTTTTTTGAAAAAGTTACATGTAAAATGTTCACATTTTATTGGATACTCTATGTAAGTATAGACCTAAATATTGCATGCAGGTACTGAGAGGTCTGCTTTACTTTATATGTGTCTTATCGGTCCCGATAAAATTAACAAATATCAAGTACGTTTACGCAAGTGAGTTAAGGCAAAGTATAGACGTTTCTATGAAAATGAACTAATTAAAACGCATAAGGGCTATACTTATTATGCAGAAAAGGTTAAAACTTATTTTCTAATGAAAACTTGGTACCCACGACAAGTAATAGCCAGTACACATTATGACGTCATATTATGACGTCATTGCTCTCTACTACATAAAGTTATAAAGAACATCAACAAAATAGCTTCGGCGCAAGGGCATACCCTATTTATTTTTAAAGAAACAGGGTCTAATTAGAAGCAGAATATTCCAAGGATTTGTGATATTACTGCACAAATGTCGACCAATCAATTGTTTAGTTGCTATTTGTAAAGTTTTGAGTTGAAACGGGGTAAAAATTCACAGTCCAGTTTTAGTTTCCTCAAATTTTTATCAAAAGAGAAAGTGCATAGGATTTGTGCAGCACTTTTATTAATCTTCAGAATATTCTTCGTAAAATTATACATTATTTACTTAAAATAAAATAGGGTATGCCCTTGCGCCAAAGCCGTTTGTTGATGTGTTTTATTACTTTGAGAAGTAAAGAACAATGACGTCATAATATGACGTCATAATGTGCATTAGCTATAACATGCCTTGGGAACTAGGTATGTAAAAGAAAATGAATTTAAGTTTTCTCTGTATAATAAATATACCTCTTTTGCATTTTTATTAGCTCATTTGCATAGAAACGCCTATACCTAGCCTTAAATCACTTGCGTATACATGTAATATACCATACCATGCTAACTGTTCATTGAATTAAGTATTTAAAAAAATTATTACAAAAAATTGTAATAATTGAGGACGGCAAGAGAGAATTTATATTAAGTTGTAGAACAAAACTAGTAACCCCCCCCCCCCCAACACTACCCCCACCACCCCTTTCCAACCGAAAAATAACTGGTCATTTACAAAATGAAATTTGTGCGAAAAAATAAATAAATAAACAAAATAAGATATAGTAAATACATGTAGATAAAACAATAAAGCACTCTAAGTTGGATAAGTCTAGACTTTAAGGGAAAGCGTATACCGCAAGATTTGTTTGAATGAACTAACCCATGTATTACAGCAAAGATTTTACTAACTGCTTTACATGTGTAGCTCGCTGGTCTGAAAAATTGTGATGGACGACCAGAGAGCTACAGTGCCATCCATTGAAAAAAGTGTATATTTATTGCGCACAAAAAATGCGCTGTTTCTTGATTTATTTCCCTGTATATCTCAAAATGTTACTAAAAACGTGTTCCTAACGCATTCTTTTACTACTTCCACAACAAAACTGTGCACGAAGCACGTTGGCTCGATCGAATTGTCTTGTCACCCAAAATGGCAGTATAAATAGGCGGAGTTTTGGATGGTCACAATTACAGGCCCAGGAGGGTATTAACAATGGTTTTACGGAATGTTTTGTTGTGGAAGAAGTAAATAAATATGTTAGGAATACACGGTTAGTAATGAGTTGGCAGCTTAAATATACAGAGAAATAAATCGAGAAACAGCGCAATAAATATACACTTTTTTCATTAGATGGCACTGTAGCTCGCTGGTCGTCCATCCCAATTTTTTTAGACCAGGTAGCTACAGATCTACAGCTAAGATTTTACTGGAAGCTTTATTAATAATAATTGAAACACATATTGACTTTAGGTCCCTTTTCTGGCAAGTTAGCTTGAACTGATTTACTTTTAATGTTTTCTTCTTTATTACTTTGATATTCCTCTACTAATGGAAGGAGTTAGTAAATTAATTGTTAAGCATAAACTCTTACAAAGAATTGCAAGACATTCGTACAAAATTTGACTGCCATTAAGTCGTCATTTTATCTTAATTCAGGAAGATCTTAACATCACAAAAATATTTTTTGGACTCTGAGAAAATTTTATAATATAAAGGTGTACATATTGTGTTTGTATATATGTACAGGTGACTCTCGATGGCTCTAACTCCGATCTGTCGAAGTTCTCGATCTCTCGAAGTGAACCTCCGGTCCCTTTTTTTTCCTCTATATAACTAAGCAAATTTACTTCTGATCTCTCGAAGTTCTCTATCTCTCGAACCAAGACCTGGGTCCCGTTACACACATTTCATTGGTTTTTACTCTCTATCTCTCGTAGATTTGATTGCGCGTGTGTACAAGCCAATCAAGCGTAAAATTAATGCAGCTTGTACTTACCTGGATAACGGTAAACGCCTGGGACTGGCATGGAGGCGTTCACTGGGTGTTTACATACAGTACCAACCAGACCCAACCTGACACCTAAGCAGTCCCAGAAAGCAGTCCCCGGGACTGCTTTGGGACCGCTCTGGGACTGCTGTGGGACTGCTCTGGGACCGCTCTGGGACTGCTCTGGGACTGCTGTGGGACTGCTCTAGAAAGCAGACCCAGCAGTCCCAGCAGTCCCTGGGACTGCTTTCTGGGACTGCTTTGTTCCACTTTCATGAAACAGGTTCTGAGTGACATGATAGCTCCGCCCCTTGTGTATTCTGAATTTGCAGGCTCCCTGTTGTTGTTTTGTTTACTTTCAGCAGAGAGGTGTTTAAGATAAAGAATAAAAAAGAAACCAAGGATTGTTTTACAACATTTTGATAAGTAGAGATAGATATACATGTAATTACTAAATGTCTTCAGGGGCTGTAAATTTACACAATTGTAGTCTAGAATTGATTTTAAAAAATGAAAGTAGTTAAAAGGGAAGTCAGGAGATGACTTTTATTAACTTTAATACAGGTGTTTGAAAAATATATATATATATAGGCCTATTTAATTAATTAATGCTAATTAAAACTTTAATACAGGTGTTTGAAAAAAAAATATCGAGGCCTATCTAATTAATTAATGCCGTCAAGTTACGGAATGTACTCAAAGTTTGCATTAGCACTATTTAAAAACAAACAAACAAACAGAAAAAACAACAACAAACAAACAAACTCTTCATTACAATAAGACATTCAGAGGGACGTACTGTACTGGATTTTTTTTTTTTTTAATTGAAAAAGCTAAAACCATATGCATGCTAAAAAGAGCTTTCCATGCTATATTTTACCGCCCTCAAATAAAACCTAATAATTTATAAAATGACCATGAAATAAAATTATTCTACAATTCTTCAGTCATTTAAAACATTATATTTGTGAACAATTATTGGGGGATTTATTTATGAATTTGTTTTTGATTCACAAACAAGTAATTAAAAGAGTGAATTTATAAACATTTTAAAATATTGGGAATTGTGACTTATTTCTTATTTGTTTTGTTTGTGTTTTCCTGGCCGATTAATGAAAAGCAATACAAATGTATAAAATGGTGTCAACACCTGAAGTTTCAATCGCCTTCGGGCATGATTAGCAGAAAGTCAATGCATGTTATTTGGGTATCAGTGTTACACATCACTGAACATGCTGGTCAACAATGACACTAATTTCAATCTATGTACTGCAAAAAATCTTCGTTTCAATAAATGTGTATAAATTTATTTCGGGATTAATTAATTTTGAACATAATCTGAGGGTTCCATTCGCGTGATTTACAGACGTACACTCAAACGTTTATATTATAAAAGTATTATTGTTTTCTGTTACATAGATAATTTAACGATTATTAAATTGGCAAGTCAGTGAAAATAATCATGACTGAAATATAATACACAAAGAATTTTTCAAAAGCTCCAGTACTTAAGAAAACTGCATTCAGAGTATAGTATGGAAATCGGCCTCTATAATTATAAGGCCTATTTAAAGCTAGTTTTGATAGAAAATAAATAACTCAAGTTTAATTATCTACAAAAAAAAAAAAAATAAATAAATATGGAAACCAGTATCAATCACAGTAATTTAGAAATTGATTTATTTTGGTGAAAAATTAATATACCACAAAACTGTGTTTAAATATTCATGTTATTTATAGGTGTGAACGTCTTCTTTGTTCAATATTTATTATTTGTTTCTATACGCGTAGTGTGATTTTCTTAACAGTTAAAGAATGACTGTCGCATGAGGATTGATACTGCTCAGAAAGAAATGGATCATCAATTTCAACTGCCTTTTATAGTTACATTGTTTATTGGTAATCTCATTTCTGAGTAAGCTCCGCCCATTAAATTAATTAACCCCGCCCACTGGGACTGCTGGGACTGCTTTCTGGGACTGCTGGGACTGCTTTCTGGGACCGCTGGGACTGCTGGGACTGCTCTGGGACCGCTGTGGGACTGCTCTGGGACTGCTTTAGCAGACCCAGAGCAGTCCCAGAAAGCAGTCCCCGGGACTGCTCTGGGACTGCTTTGTGTCAGGTTGGGTCTGGTTGGTACTGTAGATGACACTATACCTGTGAGCATCCGAGTGTTGGTATAATTAATTAGTTATGATTGGTAAATTATAAACGGATTGCTTCACAACTTATTTTGACTTGACAGCGATACGATTATTTTTAGAAAATATTTTAATAAACGTGTCAATAATTTTCCATAAATCATGGAGTTTTATTAAGAGTCTACATAATCCTAGTATGACAAACATTGCATGAGAAATCCTATCTCAAGAACTAAATTCCTATTTAATACGAGAGATCTGATGAATTAAGGACCCGATCAAGCCCGGGGGGTAGCCACACCGACGATCGCTATTCAGGTTTCATGTAATCATGAAATGGGAAGAAATAAATACTTAAACTTAAGAAGATCGTTTTATTTATTCAAATACAATTATTGTTGTTGAAATCAAGTGAATTACAGTGGCGGATCCAGAAGTTCTTCGGGGGGGGGGGGGGTTG